AAATTGTTATGGTGACTTTTTTGCAACCACTGACTTCAGCAAGAATCGTCAACATTCACACACAGTACGCATACCTGGTAAGCTGTTCTTATAAGTCTCTAGACAGTGCTGGCAGCATTCCAGGCGATACAATCATCGGAATTGTTCTTGGTAGGCTGCACTGTACAGTTTCCATGGCACTACACCTGTAGGTTTCAAATTTAAGAATGATTCATCAGAGTACAATCCCTTGTTAAAGGGAATACAAACATCCTAACCCAAAAGGTATTCAAATATCACAATACATTTTATACTTACTGTCAAACCACTGAAAATGCGCTCGGGCACGGAATGTTTCCCTTCCGACAAAGTCCCAAAAAAGGTGACAGACAAGTGACAGCTTTAAAAAAGCTTTGTCACCCTCGAACAGGACTACTTCTAAGGGGGTAACTTTGGCTGGAACATTGGGGGGGGTTTAGGTCTCCACCCATTACGGGAGAAAAATAATTATTGGGGGGGGGGCGTATTAGCTGGTTTTGATTTATTGGGGGGGGCTACAACCCCCCCATCCCCCCTGTAATTTACGCCCATGGCTACTTCTAAGAGGATATCCTCCAGGTCGTCGAGGGGGATCTGTGAAAGAAATCATAGAAGCACATAAATATTATTTTACAATATTTCTGTAATGAAACAAAAAGAGACAAAAATACCACGACTTCTACATTCCAACTCCAACTTCTTAAAATGAACCTCATTGTTTTCACATGTTTGTAGGGTACAAAACAGTAAGCACAAAGAAAAAGAGAAAAACAGCAGGTTTAGCTATAAGATCAGCTACATAAATACCTGTTCAATTGAGATGGAACCCATTCCTCCTCTACCATCCGTGCGTTGAACATGTTGAATTTTCCTAAAAGAAATTATATTGTCACAACTATTGTAAAACTATGAAATATTTTAATGGTATCATATACAGTTGACTCCACCTGAGGGCACAGGTGTAAAACAATTTGATCACGTTAGGCAGTCATAATTAAGCTTGTCACGATACTGAAATTTCAAACTCGATACTGATACTAAGGATGGTGCTCGAAACTAGGTACTATTTTCATTACTACAGGGGGAGAAAAAACAAAGGAACTTTTTTTTTTAATAAAGTCTGAACACCACCAAAAAAATAAAAAGCCAAACAATACAATATAAAAATAAACATATTAAATAGAAAAATGAACAAGAGAGAATATATTCATATATATTATATAATGAAATGAATAAATAAATTGATGAGTTGATTGAAAATTGTTGTAGTCTGCAGGTGATTTCCATGAATCGGCAGATGCAAAACTGGCATTTAAGTATCGATACCAGTGCTAATTGATATCGAACTCCATGTAAGTAACTGAATTTTTATATATACACTCACCTAAAGGATTATTAGGAA